CCGTGGCTAACGGAGGCTATCTTTGCTTTTTTACAATCAATGATAGTCCTCAAACAGAGATGTATTAGCTATGCGAAAGTAGGGTCTTAGTTCCTACTTTACCATCAACGTGAAAGTCTATCTACTTGTTCAGGGAATATATCTCCTGCAGTGTCTTCGCTAATTTCATTATTGCCAAAATATCAGCTTCAGGTGTTCCGATAGCTCAAAGGGCCCCCAAATATCTGGTACAAAGCAGTAAGCTCCCGCTTCTGGTTATTAGGTAGCAGTGCTTCCTACTAACTTACCACCAGGACAATGTTCGCTTCTTTGGCGCCATTTTTATGCACTTTTCTTGGAAGTTGGATAAACTGCCTACAAATATCCAGATTTCCCGGCCAAACTATCTTCATTCCTTTAAAAATTTGCCGATATAACCTGATTTTGGTAGTATGTGTCTTCCAAATGCTTTATGTCTAATAGCTGCTACCTCTGGGCATTGACTAAGAAAATATTCGGTGACAGGTAACAAAATCAACGGAAATAACGTCAGTTGACACTACTTTCTATAGTGATGCGAAATAAAATAAATTGATGTAATAAAGTCAACGAAAATTTGGAAACAAAATAAATGACGATATTTTGTAATTAAAATGGAAAGAGCGTTCACAATGCTTAAAGTATATCGATTCAAATAAAGAAATGTGCTTGCACCGTACGTAAGAGATGAATGTTGTTACAATAAATATTTCCCCGTAAGTGTTTCCATAGTTAAAAGAGGTCATTGCCAAATGCTCAGTGCTATTAATCAACACAACACGGTGTGGCGCGCGGACGCCGGTCGCCGCGCAGCTATGCAAATTTAATGTTTGAAGGAGCAATAATGTCAACGGATTTTATTTCGCTTTTGAAAAGGTAATAATGTCAATTGATTTTATTTCGCACTAGTATGCGAAATAGTATCAATTGACGTCGTGTCCGTTGATTTTGCTGCCTGTCGTCAAATATTCGATACCTTCTTCACTAGCTTCTACGCGACAGCGGTGTGCAATTATATGGGTGGCCTATTCGCGCTGCAGGTCTACTCTATATGCAGAGACCATATATGTAATACTCCTATATTGGCAGTAAGAGCTAGTACCGTCCGAAGACACTACAGTACAGATATATCAATAAACACGTACGAAAGAAAAGAAACACATACGTTTATAAATAAACATGTACACAACACATATACTAAAATGGAACTCTAATACACAATACATTGACAAAAATGGTTCTGGACTGTCTCGCTTTGATTTCGGAATGCTTACGCATAGAGAAGTTATATACGACAGAGACCATGAAACGCCCAGTTCCTCTTTGACCCGTCTATGTAGAGCGATATTGCCTTTAAACAAGCCTCGCTCTTCTTTACTCTCTTCTACGAAAAGGGTAACTATCTCGCTTGCATGTTCCCGAGGTTTTCTGCATAACATCCAAAGGATATCCTGCAAAACTGCTAAACAGTTGAGAAAAATCTTGCATTGCTGCCCCCTGCGGAAGTCATAGGGGATGAGAAAATCAAAGAAATTCATAACTTTCTCCAGGATGAACTCCGAAAGACTCCTTGAACTTAGGCGGGGAGTCTTATGGTCTGATTATGCATGCTTCGCATAACTTCGCACAACTTCGCATAAACTTCAAACTGTAATTTCGTATGTACTTTGTAGGTATTTTGTATGTATTCCATTACCCAGAAATTAGCAGAACTTTTAAAAACTTAGCGATCTGTTGAGTTTAGATTTTGCTTCACATTTTCTTAAGTTACACTTTTAGTGCATTGGTACAAATGGTTGTGCGAAGTTATGCGAAGTATGCATAATCAGACCCTTAGGACTCTTACAGGTTACCTGACATGACATTGCAAGTTAAGGTATCATTTGAACAAAATAGTTCGTTCTCTAAAGACGGTCCGCAAGTTTTGTAGGTTGGTGGGGGAAACCTCAGAAGAGAATATTCTTTGTGACTGCCCACGTATTATGAATAGTAGACTGATAAACCCAATTATCATCTCAATATGCTTAATTTCTTAAGATTGGAGTGACTACAGTTAGGGCTTAGCACAACAGATCTTTTATAGGTCGCAGCGTCGAGTATACCTGACCTAGTTATTATAATACAATAGCCGTGAATAATCAATATGAAGGAGCAGGCGAAGGACCTCGAGTGCAGCCTATTACATTTTTTCGTGCTTACAGTGCCCCCGATGCCTTAACTACTTACCTGCTTATCAACATTGAGTTTCCTCGACAATTTTCTGTTTACTAATATACCCTTTGCTTGGCTTTGCTAGTAAAGTAGAAGTAATCTTGTTTAGTCCTACAGAGTGATAGTACGCAGCTCTAACCACTCGGCTACAGCGGCTGCCGTAATTTAGGTTTGCTCCATAGTGTAGCCTTGTAGTTCCTAGGCAATAGCACCAAGTCAGTCTTCTCCGCGTTAATGCTTTGACTATAAAAGATAAAGACGAATGCTCGATTTTTGTTTAGTTGGTGGGCTAAGATACTGAAACTCTATTGGCTTTTATTTCTGTCAAATTAAAAAAATAAAAATAAATAAAAAATTCTTAAAGTATATTTAACTGACGCTTTAAATTTAATTTTAATGCTAAGTTCTAACTTTATAATAATTTCATGCTTATCACTAACATCCTTTTCTTTTCCTCTCCCTATCTTTCCTCTTCTCTATTCCTCACCCCTTCTCGCTTTTAACGATTTCATTTCAGCAGATGGCGCACAATACGACCGTCCAACTGGGTGGCACCGCATTTCTGGTTTGCAAAGTGACTGGCGTGGATAGAGTGGGTGTAAATTGGGTTTGTAAAAAAAAAAAACAACGAAGTTGAATGTTTCCGTAGTTTTTATTTTAAGATACATAGATCTTTATGGCCTTATTCATAAAAAATAAAATAGGTTAAATAGCTCTATAAAGGACATTAAAAAAAAAATTAATTATTTATAAAGCAGTTAATGTTTTTTTTTATTTTTTATGAATTTGGCTGTTAACTTGTAACTATTTTTCTATGCTTTTAATTACAAAATAGTTGTATGCAAGTTTTTTCGCCTTAGCACGTATTAATATTTTTTTCTAATAAGTTGCTGTAAATTATTGAATTTAATGGCATGCTTTTGACCTTGTAAAATATAATTTTCTACTTCCCTACAATTTTTTAAGTAACTCACTTGCTTATAAAACTACTTGTTTATTCATAGACTTCGTAATTGATGGCAGCTTTCACTGTTTTTTTTTTTTTTGGTTAAAAATGTGCTATGTGCGATTTTTAATTAATTTATATAGAAGCAATTTTTGTTTGGTTATTTTATTGCTGTAGTCCTTGCGTGCCACAAACACATTGAATAACTCAAAGATAAAAAGCGTCTGCTGGCTTGCGCATAGTTGAATTTTAGCTCTCTTGGCAGTGAAATATTTAATCATGAATGAAAATTATAATGAATATACAGAGGAAACCGAGTAATTAGCTTAGCTTTGTTGACCTTTAATTGCAATGCAATACTCATTTCATGGAAATTGCATGCGCGTCAAATGCTTTGCCACGTCTAATTTGCATAAATGCTTTTACGCATACATACATACATATATACACAGCTGAGGTATTATCTGAAGGTAAGCCTACAGAAGCAGACGAACTTATAAACGTACATTTGTAAGTAGGTCAGAGGTCAAAGTCATACCGAAATTTGGTGGTTCGTAACTGTATTTATGTCTTTAAAAGATGTTAAAACGCTTCCAAACATAAACAGCTACTCATACATGCTACATACATGCTATTGAACCCATAAAAAAGGATCATTCCAGCGCCTTCGTCTTGACAAGCTGGCTGTGTCGGTTTTATGTAATAGAGTTTAATACATCAATTCAAATACAAAATGTTAATAATCAGAAATACAGAAGCAGAGCAACATTAACTGCAATCATATGTGCCATCAGCTAGAAAATTGTGCCAAGAAGAGTAATTTCTGGGAGTTAGTATTTGAGCGTGCCATCTGTCGTTACTTCGATGCATTTTTATTTCGTTTTAAATTGCATAAATTGGTACCACTTAATATTAATAATATTACTAATATTATTTAGAAATAAGTAAATCTCGAAAATTGTGATACTTATTTAAAATAGCTGATGGATTAAATTTAGTTCGGTTTGATTTTTAAATACGGGGCACTCCATAATATAGTTCCGGATCAAAGCTCTTTCAGCACATTTCAATTGATACCCATCTTTTAATCCATTCCTTCAACTTATTAACTAGTTTTAGTATAACCTCTTATACAGGTGGCAACCCTCGTTAATATTCAAAATTTTCAAACTAGAAATTTCTTACCATTCATATAATCTCTGTGTAATATACGTATGTATACTTTAATGAAATTCGACTTGTCAAACAGGCAACCCCGCTCAAAATATTTTAAAACCAAAATCTTGTTAAAACTTTTTCGTCTGACACCCAATTTGTAATATATACATATGTATATATATATTAAAATTATCTCATCTTCCTAATTAAATTTTAATTAAATTTTTTCAATCAGGAGGCAACCCTGCTTTAAGTAGTTTAGAAATATTTTTTAGAAATAATGTTTTTCAAAGCCATTTTGTTTGGTATCCATATTGTAGTAATTTTTTCAAACTATTGTGTACATTGTACTTAGCTTCGTAAACAAGTGGCAACGCTCTGCAAAATATTTTCAAACCACAACCTCTTTCGTCTGACACTCATTTCGTGATACATATTTCAATTTTCGAATTGACTTAATTTAAATTGAATTTCAATTCTAAAACAGGTGGCAACCCTACTACATATAATTAGAAACCTCCTTTGTCTCCTTTGAAACATCATTTACAGCCAATTTCACAAAAGCAATTTAAGTGAAAATTTAAATTGCTTTCGTAAAATTGGCTGTTAGACTCATATATTTTATCAAATAAACATGCTTAAAAGATATCAACCAATACTTGAAGTTTTGATTCAAGAAAACAAATACAAAATCATTCGAGCGGTTTTCAAGCATTTTGGTAATAAAAAGGCTAGCTAATTTGAAAAAAAAATTTGGCCTTAAAATAGTTTACTTTATTGCTATTGATTCAAAAATTTAAATTAAATTTGTATCCAATAATATTTATGTTGCCCTAAAGAACTTATATTCCGAAAATGAAAGTTATATCTACAAAACCTAAGTGGCTGGAGCACTGTAAAGGCTTAAAATTTACCCCAAAATAAGCCAGTAGTTACCGTTTCTACGACTTAAAACGAAGCGATCACTTATAAAAATTGACCGTCGATAAATTTAGTATTTTTTTTTTTTGAAACAATGCATTTTTCCTTGCAATCGCTTAGACGCTTCTCGTGCAAAGACCGATTTTGTGAAGCTCTGAGCAAAGCATCCATACCGAAACGTTAGACGTATCCTACGTAAAAAATGTAAAAAATAAACCACAAAGAGTATGTGAGTTTTTTGACACTGGTACCATTTAAATACTCCACTGTTCCACACGCTAGTATTTTCAATTATCTTTGTTTCACGCACAGCCCACATAGTAAAGTGCGCGCCCAGCGCGTGTTATTGCGGTCGGCCCGCATTCTGTTTTCGACATTGCTATTCTACGAGTACTCCTAAAATATATGTATTTGGATAAGTTCGTAAATTCTTCTTCGTCCTTTCGCGAGAAACACAGGAACATACACACATACATACATACTACATAAGCTCATGGCATTCATTGGAACAATTTCTCTTTTACTTGAGCAAATTGATGAAATGCACTTTCGCAGAAAAGCCAACAAGCAAATAAGCGGTAATGGGTGTCAGCAAAAGAGTAATTAGCTTCGTGGCGCTTTTCCGCGCTATTGCGTCGCCTTTATTATCAGGAAATTTTTTGTTTATTATTTTGAATGACGCCAGCAAATATACTTTCATAGCATCGACTTTGTCTTAATGCGCTTTATTATATACGATTTTTCTTGCTGATACTTTTTTATAGTTATAGGTACAGACCATAAGAAATGAAAAAGCGATTAATATTCTGAATGCAAATAGTTTTTATCGCGGTTTTTTTTATACAGTTTTACCATTCCTTACATGACCTTCTTTATGAGAGTAAGCAAAATTTCCTACTCCTATTTTTAGCTGGGCTTAGTAGGGGTTGCAAATTCCGATAGTATTTGCGCGGTCGCGTTCTCACAATCTTAAATGAGTAGCTGTTTGCAAATTTAATAAAACAAATAATTCATGAATGCCTGTATTGTACAGATATTCCATTAAGTAGGGTTGCTACATGGTTCTTGATACAAATATCAACTTAAGCTATGTTCACAAACGGAGTAAGCAAATGTTGTAACATTGCTGCAAACCTTTAAGAAGTAAAATTTTAAATTAATTTAATGAATTTTAAATGCGTCTAGAATTCATGGAAGTAATAAATAATTACCCGAAGTCAAAATTCCATACAAACCTTAGTTCTGAATAATTTCCGGACAAGAGCGGGGAATTCCGGATTGTCTGGACCAAATTCGGACGTAGGAGGTAGGCTTACTTTTAAGACTTAAGCAATAGTCTCTTCTTCGTCAAGTAAACGAAATTCTCTACTTTCTCGAAATAATAGCTGTCAACGGTACCGTGGCTGCCAAGGCGCGAATGTGCTGACTCTAAGCTCGCCGAAGAGAAGACCAAACATGTGCATACTTGTTTCTTAACTCCTTCGCTTTCGTTTGAGCTAGATGAGTGTCGTCGTCTCTTTTTTTTCATTATTTAAAATAACATCTTCCTATTCCTTAAAAGTTACACAAATATCAACAGGGGTAACTGGAAACCCCAGCGGTGCCAATATATCAAAACCCAAAACTTGGCACGGCAGGTTCATGCCAGTGATGAAATTGATGGTACAATTGTACTTTTTTGATACATTTTGGAAGCCAAAAGTACATTGGTACTACATTGACATTTTTGAAAAATGTTTGTCAAAATACGGTACTACACCACAATTATGTCGAAATACCACACTCTGTTTACTTAGATATTTGAATTTTTGTGCATAAAAATATAGTCATCTTTTTCTACCTTATTTAAGGAAGTACGTGGTCTTTATTAAAAATGAAACTCTTGCTTTAATAAAAAAAAAAACAGTGGCTGTCATAATAGGTCTACTCATAAACTTTTACAGTAAGTACTAGCAGCGAGAGGATAAAAGAATCATAGCGACTAAAACTGAGGGGGAGAGAAAATTATCCGATTAAGTTATTGACCGCAAAGCTAGTAAAAACGTGCAACTTACGCCATTCGGACTTTCTGATAGTTAAATTTGGTAGGAGTGTTTTTGTATTCTCCACACAAAATTATCCAGCAGCAAAACTTCTGAGCATTTTGCAAAATTTGCAAAAACTTGCAATCTTCGAAACAGCTAATCACTTCACCAGTGGTAATAGCTGGTCAATTTGGTAATTTATTATCCGCTTGGTGCATTGTCCCTGATTTAGCATTTTTTACTATAGAATACCTTTCGCCAGAACCTTTCAGCATTGTTACCTATATTGGTATATTTCCGTTAAATGCAACGTTTTTTTTTTTTAATTTTTGTATTCTAGCATTTAATAAACATACTTGTATGCTTTCGTTGATTAACTTGATATGTATATTCATTTGTGTTGGAAGCTTAGCGTTTTGATGGCAGTTTAAAACATTCATGTGCACTTAAATATGTTTTCCACCTTCGACAAGCCGTGTTTTATATCTAGACTTTTTTACAGAAAATTGTATCTAATCTAAAAACATGTATGTAACTATGTATGGTCTTTTAAATTTT